CCATCTACGTCCTGAGGACCTCGCTGCCACCGTCCAAGCGTGCTTGGCCCCGGCAGATGAACCTCAGGATTAAAGGGTGGGCTCAGTTCCGCGCACACTGTGTCTCACCTAAAAAATCCAATGCGCAGGCTGGAAGGTGGAAAGACCTTCCCCGGTTCTTCGTTCGCGAAGAGACTGGCCATTAATCTTCAGCATGGTCAGCAGGATCCCAAATTCCATGGTATTATGATCCCTGCATCCAAAGCTATCCCTAACTGAGATACTACAAAGCAAACTTCCTTGTTTTGTGAGCAGCAGGGCCAGCAGTGCTTTGTTGCTGGTTGCACATCTCACATTTGTACAAGGAGGCATTCCTCTATGCATTCCAGAAATCTGGTGGGTAACCTGAGCTGCTGTATTGTTCTTTCAATGAACATGTGGGGTAGTTGAAGTCACACATAAGAACCAGGTTCTATGACCCAAAGCTTGTTTAAGTGATCCAGATACTTTTCCATTGGTCTTACTGTCTTGATTTGGAGGTCGGTAGCAGATCCCCCTTGGAGATGACCCCTCTGATCTTGACCAGGAATTATTGTGAGACACTGGATTATTATATTGATTATTGGCTTGGACCAACTTGTGTGTGTGGGGAGGGGGATAGGGACAACTCAGATTTCACAAAGGTGAGGTGATGCCCTGCCCTGTACCCCAGACCCTGTGAGCCTCACAGGGAAACCCTGGAGAAGCTGTCAGGCAAAAACAACCTGGAGGTACCGCCCTGTTCCACACCTCGGAGCCCCCAACCCAGTATGGTATAAACTGGAGTACTATCAGATTAATAATCCACAGGAGAGAGACTCTTATTTATGATTGATGCAAACTATATAAGGTTCTTTCAGATGTTGATCTGCAGTCAGAAGCTGTGAATTAAAAAAAAATCACAGTGAAACGTGTCACCATCTATCTATCAGATATTTTCTAGAAACCATTACTAGAAACCCTCTTAACTGACATTTGCTTGCTCTCTTGATGATAGACTTTAAAACTGGTCTTGGGCTAATTTTTAATCAGAGGGTAAGATGCATAAAAAATTTCTGGACTTTTTTATTAGGATCTTGTTGTGTGGCTTTTAGTTACGAAATATACTTCCTGGTGGGTCTAGTGCCTCTTGGTGTCAGTAGAGGAGCTTTGATCCACTACGCTAAATTTTTAATATAACTTCAGCTCATAATTGATTTAACATTTACCACTTTACTATGCTCATTGATTGCTATTGTCTCTCAGATACTGAGGCATACACTTGGACATAAAGATGCAGAATTGCAAAGTGTTGCTGTGGGAACTGGATTTCTTAATGAAAGCTTAGTGCTTTATGGATCTCAGCAATTTTCACCTCTGAGAATCATGATCTTCTTAGAGAAGTTTGGAGTAAATACATGTGGAGTGATGTGTCACTCTCTCTATATGTGTGTGTAATATATATATGATTTAGTAAAGGACCAGATGTCACAGATGGTTTCCACATGTGCAGATTTATTTCGTGAAATAGATATGTATGTATATTGTGTGCATATATGTATATATATGGTTCTCTGAAAGATACCTTAGTCATCCAAATGAAAATAGAAAGGAAATGAATAAAATCACAGAATCATAGAATGGCTTGAGTTGGAAGGGACCTTAAAGATCATCTAGTTCCAACCTCCTGCCGTGGTCAGGGACATCTCCTTCCAGTAGAGCAGGTTGCTCAGAGCTCCATGTAGCCTGTTCTTGAACACTTCCAGAGATGGGGCATTCACAATTTCTCTGGTCAACCCGTGCCAGTGCTTCACCACTCTCACAGCAAACAATTTCATCCTAATATCTAATCTAAGCCTACTGCTTTCAATTTGAAACCATTCCCCCTTGTCCTGTTACTAGTCTCTCTCTATCTTACAGAGTCCCTTCAGATATTCGAAGGTTTCAATTAGGTCACTTCAAAGCCTTCTCTTTTCCAGGCTGAACCATCCCAGTTCTCTCAGCTTTTCCATCTAGGAGAGGTGCTCCATCCCACTAATCATCTTGGTCACCCTCCTCTAGACTCACTCCAACAGGTCCTTCTTGTGCTGAGGACCCCAGAGCTGGGTGCAGCACTCCAGGTGGGGTCTCCACTCTACTCAAGGGTGGAGGGAACAGAATCACCTCCCTCGACCTGCTGTCCATGCTGCTTTTGATGCAGCCCAGGATACAATTGTCTTTCTGGGCTGCAAGTGCACATTGCTGGTCATGTCCAGCCTCTCATCCACCAGCACCATCAAGTCCTTTTTGGCAGGGCTGGTCTTGATCTGTCCATCCCTTAGCCTGTATTGACATAGGAAGTTGTCCTGACCCCGGTGCAGGACCTTGCACTTACCCTTTTAAACCTTATGAGTGTCCCATGGGCCTGCTTCTAAGAGCTTGTCCAGGTCCCTCTGGATGGCATCCCATACTTCTAGACTGCGTGGTCTAGTCTGGAAAATCTAGTCTTTTAAGAACTGAACTACCACAGTCCTGTTACTGCTTCAGAGCCAGGGTGTCACTGTCAGCTTCAGGTGTTGCCAGTAAATTTCAAGGTTGGTCAGCCTATTAGAGGAAGAGCTGAGAATTGTTAGCTGTGCACCTTTCAGAACTAGAGAATCTCATTTCTTAGAAAACTCAAAGTGCATTTAAATAGAATTTTTTTATTAATGGCATCTGACTATCCTGGCAATGAACACTGTCAGGAACTGTCACTACAGTTCACACAGATTGAATCAAACCACTGTGAAGAGATACTGCACCTTTTTTTCTGTAGGGGGAACACATAGATTATAAATCAAAATACGTCTTAATCCGTATTCAGGAGAGACAGTAAATGCTTTAAACAACTATTGCTTTCTGGGGTGATACTGCAATGTTTAAAACTTGAATTAACATTAAAAAAATTTGTGAGTTATTTGCTATGTTGATAAGTAAGATTTTCTTGTAAAGTACCTATATATCTTGAAGAATCTAAGTGCATTTTTATAATGGGGAAATCATTACTCTGCGATTCCTGATTTTTTCTTTACAAGCATCTTTCCCCTCTCAGTATTTTCTACCTTTGCATAAAGTGCTTTTTGCTATAAAAAAGTATTCTAGTGACATTCTAGTGTATTGTATTATTCTGCTTTATGCTTTTCTTACTTGGAAGAAGATGAGGGCATTGGAAGAAGTTCTTCCAGAAGTGATGTCTGGCCACTCAGCCGGCTCTCCCGAAGGTATATTGGTGGATTGGAAGCTTGGTTGTATACCATGGGCATAAAGAACTACTCAGGTGCTGTGTGTTGATTTTCTGACACTTTTTCCTAATTTTCTGCTTTTAAAAGTACATAGTATTCTTCCACTTAAGGAAAAAGGAGGCGAGAATTCATCAGAAAATTTAAACATTTGGCTGGTACAGTCTCGTATATCCATAATGCCTGCAAAATGTCTTTTTCATGTTGGAAGCTCATAAACTCCAAAGAGTGTTTCATTTGTTGTTTTCTGATTTTCCTTTTTTAAAGCATGTAAAAAATTCATAGTATCTCTGAGACACGCTGAAATCACATATTAAATGTAATGCGAAAACCCCAATAATGC